TGTGTTTATATGTTACACATGAAAAAGTATATATAGACAAGTTAAATATGTTGAGTAAAATATTTTACATAAACTTACAAATTTTCAAGAAGTTAGCCAGTAGGACTAATTTCACAATGGAAAAGTTCTTTATAGACAGCTTTTTCTTCTTAGTCCTGACTTAGAAATGGCTTCTGTTTAGTTCTCACAGCATAGCTTGGCTGTTTCACACTGTGTATGGATATGCACAGTTTTCTGCAGGAATAGGATAATTATATATAGGATCATGATATTCTTTTTATCCATGTGCCAAATGGGAGTACTGATTATTTAATACTCTTGAAGCCTTATGTTACCAAAACATACACCTGAAAAATGGAAATTTATGGAATACTTTGACAAAAAAGTTTCTTTTGTGCTTACTAAAGGAAAGGCTTTCACAGTAGTTTGTGTATCCTTCTTTTTGTTGAAATTTATTCTGTAGTCAGCACTTGATTAGTCATGCCAGGTCCTGCTTTTAAGAGCTTTTCTGAGAATTAGCAAGCTTTTCATTTCATTAAGTCTTCTTTCTCCTGTCAGTTGCCTCACCTGGTTCAGATGAAACCTGTTGCCCTACAAGGAAGGTCAGCATTAGGAAGCAGCTTATGTAGGCTGACGCTCTGCGTGGTAGCCAAACGTGCTGGCCTTTGTCGGCCGAGTGGAGGCTAGAGTCAAGGCCCTGCTGGCTGTGAGCGGTGCTGGGCAGGCTCGTAGTCCTAGCAAGTCATGTTTTCCATAGGAATTTCCACACTAACACAGCCATGTCCAAAGGTCAGACCAACATGCCTTCCAGTGCGAAATAGAAGTCCTGTAGATTTAACAATTTTAGATGATTCAGCTTGTACTATTCCATTAATGGAGATATTAAAGCATCGACTTTAATAAGCTCTCCTTTTTGCTTACATAAGGCTTCCCATTGGAGTTCTGCCTAATAATAAAGCTAATCTTGATCTGTCACCCTTCTCTGAAATCCCTTCTAGCTCTGAGATGCTTCAGTAATGATGGGACTACAGTTTGGGGATATCCTTCTCAGATTTGAATTTATACTTCATGATTTTTAGATACTAATAAAACTGTTCTTTAAAAGGAAAGAAATTATGTCTGCCTAATTCTGCTACCTATGTGAACAGTACTTTTGTAACTATGCTAATGACATCAGTAAGTAGGAAACCAGTTATTCCTTCTCTTTTAAAATGGTAAAAAATTGCTAACAAGGAACTGGAACTGTTAACCTTGAACAGAGTCCCCAAAGCCAGTCTAGTTTTTGCCTGTCTGCAATGATTACTTTGTGTTTAATTTCAAAAGAGTTCTCAGGCTCCACAACCTAAGGGTAGTAAATTGATGTCACTTACATGCTTGGGAAAAGGACAGTACAATGCGGATAAAATCCTACTCAGCATATACTGTTATGTGGTAAAGGCCTCTGAGTTAATATTGAAGTTATATCTAGGAACCACAAATATTTAAAATTTGAATCTTCCCTTAAACTGTTGCCCTGAGATCATCTTTAAACCTTAAACTAAAAAGATCCCCAAAATTGTAAAAAAAAGGTCTAAAAGTCTCCCTTGAGCATTATGCTCTTTTAACAACTATCTATATGGGATCAAGTTGACAACAGCAACTTAAAAAATTAAATAGGAACCTTCGGGGCAGTGAGTTTATGTTAATGAGGCAAGAACAACTCAGAAAAGGAGGCTGAGAATGGTTGCACAATTTGAAGAATGTAATCAGTGTTACTAAATTGTACATGTAGCAACTGTTGAACTGGTGTATGTTTTGCTGTGTATATTTTCAACAACAACAAAATAAAAAAAAACAAATTATACCTAAAAAAATTTTTTTGAATCTTGATATAAATGCTGACAGACTCTAAGAGCTAGTGTATTGCAAAATCTGCCACCTGAATTAATAAAATGAAAATATTAATGTTGGTTTTGATAGCAACCTCCTAGCATGCCAAACTGTACTTCAGATATTCAGACAAACCCATTGTAGCACACCCTTCATTTTTTTAGCAAGTTTGGCTTACTCTTTTTTCTTGAGATTTTATTCTACATTAATTAATAATACATAAAGATAGGAAACTGGAAATATACTTTTTAACCAATCTCTTGTGGCTGTACTCATGTAATTTACTTCAGTCAGTATGAGAACTGGGGATTAAGTTAATGACTAATGTGCAAAAACTGCTTTGTATATTTGTGATTGTGTGATGTAAATGAATTGGTTCATTCTTATATCACTATTAATCATGCAGCATACTATTAAAAATCTTGGAACATTTCCCTTTAGGATTGGATTTGAAGAACTCATCTCTTTCTGTGATGGTAGTACACATGTGGGGAGGAGGCTTTACTTTCTCATTTTGTTAAAATCGGTATTTGCTGACAAGGCTTCTAGAAATATGCTGGTAAAAGATTTTTTAATGTATAATAAAATCCATGATTTTTGTACAGTCTTTTTTGTATGAGATATTCCATATATACTCCAAATTTTATTTCCCCAAGTAATTTCAAAAGATGTTTGTAAAAGAAGTAGACTTGGTCTTAATCTGTTTAAAAAAAAAAAAAAAAAACCCGTTGCCGGGGAGTCAATTCTGACTTATAGCAACCCCATAGGACAAAGTAGAACAGTCCCATAGAGTTTCCAAGGAGCGTCTGGTGGATTCGAACTACTGACCCTTTCGTTAGCAGCTGTAGCACTTAACCACTATGCCACCAGGGTTTGCATCTTAATCTGTTATGACGCTATAATTACACATCTAACCCCATTGCAATTCCATAACAACTAAAATGAGAACACACACAAACTTTGTCATTTATTGGGGAAAGTTTGTTTTAGAAGCAAACTAATTCATCACTAGCAACATTTTTTTTTTCTTTTAGAAAAGAGACTTTTCAATAATTAGACATGTTACAGGCAATGTGTGCTGACTACTATTCATTCCTAAT